AGAAAACAGTCTTCGTAGAAATCGAAGCCATAATTAATTCAAGACCCATAACGTATGTCTACAATGACCCTTCAGAACCCTCACCGCTAACTCCTGCTCATTTCTTAATTGGTAAACGTTTACTTTCTCTTCCAGTTGACAAGAGTGTGCAGAGAAGACTTGATTGGGTCTAGACATTCGTTGATCAAAAGGTATAAACATCAACAAACCTTGTTAAACCACTTTTGGAATAGGTGGAGGAAGGATTACTTGCTTTCTTTAAGATCTGTGGAATTTATGTCCACCTACTAAAGTGTCTGGTCAGTTTAATGCATGGACCTTATTTATAAGGTCCACGGTTTAATGTTAATTACGTAGTCCTTATACATGACGATCGTTTACCTAGGAATTTGTGGACACTAGGTAAGATAATAGAAACTTATCCTGGCAGAGATGGTCAGGTTCGCTCGTTGTCTCATTAAAAACTCAAACAGGTAATCTAAAGAGACCAGTACAATTGCTGTACAACCTTGAAGTGCATAATTAGTAGTAAAGAGTTACAGTGTAATAATCTAATTTGTTGTTTGCACATATGTCATCTTCTGAATATCTTTATTGATTTTTGCTAAATGTAGTTTAGTTTATATAATTATTGCGAATTTTGATTTAGTATAATGTTTTTATTTAGTAATTACTTTATAAGTTGATTTAACGTGAAATAACATTACTTAATTGTTATTTGTAATTTGATGTAGTTTATATAGTATTCAAATGTTGTGTTTGATTTAGAAATTATGGTTTATTTTGTATTCGGTTTGTGTGAACTTAGAGTTCACAGGTGGGGAGTGTTGTAAAGAAAGAAGTAGAGGGCGCTGCTTGGCAGTAGCGCGCAACGCATGTAAGTAGAAACGAAATGTCGTTTGATTAGGCAACATGATTTCTGTGAAGGTAGTCCACCTAACAATAGGACAGTTGTAAATATGTAAATATAACGAATAATAAATAGCATTAGAAAACTGAACCACCGGATGTTTTGTGCTTGCTCTACGGGCCGCCATGGATAAATGCAGGTTCGTCACATCATCTCACTATTTTTTTAACATATTTCGTATAACAGGTTTTAATGGCACTCTTTCATTAATTTTTCAAAATAACATTTCTATTTTTGAGGAATGAACGTCTTTGAAATAATAGCCTTATAATAATATTTTTTTCATAGTTTTTCTGAACAGCATTTGTTAGTCTATAGAATAATTTCCAGAATAATAATATTACAGTCGGAATTAATAATAATTCCGGAATTTCTATAGAATAAATGCCGGCGTTTCATACTTTGCCGAAAGCATATACTTACCGTATATACCCGCGTATAAGTCGATCCCCCCCTTCGACATAAAAAATTCGTAGAAAATAAGAAATCCGCGTATAAGTCGACCCCCCACTTCCGAAATCGATCCAGAAACTTCGAATTTTTTTTTTTTTTTTTTTTTTTTTTAAGTACTACATTTATTCAAAATCATCTGAGGAAAAAAAAAAAAATTAAATATACGATTAAAAATACCTTGGTAAATAAACAAAATCAAAATCCTTCTTCTAGAATTTGTTCAGGAAATTCTAGATTAAAATTCTACAATTTGTTCCGGAAAGATTCGCGTACTTAAAAATCTATCTGCATTCCCCTTTTTAAAAGTTAAAGAAATATTCAAAACTGTTCAGTTATTGCGTGGGCTATTTTCTTAATTTTGGGACGTGTACGCCTGTTTAACAAAAGTATTTCATGAATGAACAATAAACTATTATAAAGGACTTATACGTATGTTTTTCGAAACTTACTCTAGTTAAAGTATGAAACTCTGTGATTAGTTCGTCACATAATTTAAGTCATGAAATTACTTCAAGTAAGTGACTTTTTGATAAGTCGTCCAATTTGAGTGAAGAAAACAACTGCATTATATAAAGAAATTTTTGAGCTTCCGATTCTTTTAATTTTTTATGCCCCCCCGTATAAGTCGACCCCCCCCCACTTTGAAGTCATTTTTTTGTCCAAAATATCTCGACTTATACGCGGGTATATACGGTACTTCGATTGATGTAAAGGTAGAATATAGCCATAGCCAGCTCAGACGGGAGGGAGAGTCCGATATGATTCCTATAGTTAGTTTCTACTACAGCATCTTCATATGTATAGGTAATAATTACGTGACAAATAAATTACGTTAAGGTCAATAATGCTAATATAAATCATAATTATATTACAGTCGAATTCGGTTAATTGGACCACCGGATAATAGGACCAGCCGCTTTCTCGGACCAAATCCTAAAGAACCGAAACAAATCCTATGTATATAAGCCTAATAATATTCGCTTATTTAGACCAAAATTCCGTTTAATCGGACCAAAATACGTGAGAGAGAATTTAGAAACAGAAGCCACAAGTCGGCCGCGTACAGCCGTGACCTTCGAACCGTGTACCGTGACTTCTCGAAGTGGATGTACAGGTGGTCTACGACATATGGGAGGATCTGTAGTTGCGGCTAACCAGGGAAATGCTTTATCAAAGATCAGGAATTCCTTAAAATGCATGACAAAAGCAAAACCGTTTGGAGGTGAACACGCGCACCATTTTCTCTAACCTTTCTTTGACCTGCGCGTCCGAGTTTCCATGAAATGAACAATAGAGTGTCCGGCTCCACCTGAAAGGAATTCCCACCTGTCAATCATGATTAAAGTTTACACGAGAAAGCTGTCATTTCATCACCTTTTTGGGATGATTTTAGTGCCAAAGCTTTGAATGGCGAGCATTTTATCTCCCTCTTGACCTCAACATCTTGAACCCGAAACACAAAGTTCTGTGCGCATGTCTTGTCTCCCCTGCCAAAATGCCACGACGGGACTTGTCGTTAGCTGAAAAAAATTGGTTTTCTGGATAAGATCAAGCAACAACCACGAAACACTAGTCAGCATTCGTATACATTTGCATTCGTATACATTTAGTGTGTTAAATTTCACATTTAATAACTGCTACTAAAGAAACTACTAAAGAAACTGTCTACTAAAGAAATACTCATCAATCAGAGTGAATGTTATCTTATTCACAACGAGTACATTCAATTTATTCACACATAACTTTTAATTTTAACAATGAATATAATCAGATCATATGTTCTGAATCTTGCACTTTTAAAAATCAAAAGAATGCACTGAAATAAACAAAGACTAGATTCATTGTAATACTTTCAGTCATTCTCATCTCAATTAAAAAAAATATACACTTGAATTCTCTTAATCCACATAATATGCTGTGAACATCAATCCAAATATTAATGCGTGATAAAAATCTCGAAAGTGATATGTCAGCGATTAATGAAAATCAGAAAACGAAAGCACTACAAGATTTTTACTATTACGCCATATATTTATAACTGCGAAACAAATGCAAATTAAAACGTAAACAATATACGCTTACATGCAAGAAGATTTAGCGTCACAAGAGCAATAGCAACTCATTGGTCCATTTTCGAAACCCCTCCCTCAGTGGCTGCGCTGATGTGCACTTGTGAAATATGCCCGCCGATAACTTCGCGGCAAAATCACAGCGGTCGTAAACGTCGCGGAGAAAACAACGCAAGGCGAAAACGTCGCGCTACAAAACATCGTGGGAGAAAACATCGTCGTAGAAAATATCGAGGTAAAAAATAAAGTATCGACAAATCATCATAGACCGATAACATCGCAGACATGCGCTTTTCAGACTTTAAGAATTGTAAATGGATATTCGTATAATGATTTGTGAGAGCGAGATGGAAAGAAAGATAATTTTTACTTTATATTTTTATCAACTAATAAATTTATAAAACGCAAAACAAGAAATTTAAACAAAAAAGAAATATATTTGAAATTTTCATTAGTGTCAGTATTAATTGGACAAAAGTGAAGAAAGTAATCTCATAATTAACTTAGCAATTTTTGTATCGATAAGGACATGCAGCTACTTATCTTCCTTTTTCTTTTTCATATTATACTTTTCATGAAAAATTACGAGTAAAGCTTTATAAAAAATGATTTATTAATGACCTTTTTTAGTTAACTGTGCCAGTTTAAAATATTATTATGTGCTTATAAGTTTCATCAATTTTCTATGCTTAAATTTCTTCTAACTTTAGCAAAAATTATATTAGTTAATTAAAATATGAAAGTAAAAATTATCCTTCTTCCATCTCACAATCCTTATGGAATATCCATTTACAATTATTAAAGCCTGAAAAAAGCATGTCTGCGATATTATCGTCATGCGATGATTTGTCGATACTTACTTTTTACCGCGATATTTTACTTTTTACCGCGATATTTTCGACGACGATGTTTTTAAACTGCGAAATTTTTGAACCGCTTTATTTTGGACGACGATATTTTGTATCACGATGTTTTAGAACTGCGATGCTTTCTCTTTGCGATGTTTTCTCCACGACGTTTTCGCCTTGCTTTGTTTTCTCCGCGACGTTTTCGTCCGGTATGTATTCGGCTGTAACCGAAGGCAAGGACCCAGATGTCGATGAGGCCCTTAATTAATGGTTTGCCATCGTTACTGGACGAGCTGTGCGAATAAGCGGTCCAATGTTAAAATGCAAAGCAGAACTCGCTAAAAAGCTGGGCCACAATGATTTTAAAGCTACGGACGATTGGTTGTCTCGATGGAAATCTAGACATGACATAAAATTCAAGAAAGCACATGGCGAGAAAGAAAGTGCTGATAGTGCAAATGAAGAATGGAAATCAACAAAACTGCCCGAGCTTCTTGAAAATTTTTCAGCAGATGATATCTACAATGCTGATGAGACTGAGCTGTATTATCGGGCTACACTGGATGACTCGTTAAGTTACAAACATGTTGCACTCTCTGGCTCCAAAAAAGCGATGGATCGCGTAACTGTTTTGTACTGCTCAAACATGTCAGGAACGGACAAGAGGAAGTGTTGGTTATAGGAAAAAGCACTAACCCTCGCTGCTTTAAAGGACTTAGGATGGAGAGTTTACCAGTCGTGTATCGTGCGAACCAAATGCGTTGGATGGCCTCTGAACTTTTTAAAGAATGGCTGAAGGATTGGGACAGAGAGCTACAACGCCAGTCGAGAAAAGTGCTGGTTCTTCTTGACAATTGTGCAGCACATCTTCATTTAGATTGCTTGATGAACGTCCAGCTGAAATTTCTACCTCCCAGGACCACAACTTCGGTGCAGCCAATGCACATGGGCATCATAAAAAATTTGAAGACCCTTTATCGTGCAAGATTGGTTAATTACATACTTGAAGCAATTGAAGAAATTTTGCTGACCTCATCGTCAAAAGCTAACGAAGTCAGTGCAAAGGTCAAAATCTTGCAAGTAGTTACATTTGTGGCTGACAGCTGGCGAAAAGTGAGCAGTGAGACAATTCAGAACTGTTTTTCTCACTGTGGCTTTAAGCACTTGGTTTCGGAGATGGATGTGGACATACTCATTGAAAGTGAAAATGATGATTTACATGTGGAACTTCAACAGGTACAAAATTACGAAGAATTTTTATCCATGGACAAAGAGTTTCAATGCTACGATGAAAATAAAGATTACGACACTGCAATCGTTGCTCGAGTTGCAGCAAAACACACGACAGCATCGGACGACCAAGAAAGGGATGATGCCGCTAATAAGTTGGTGCAAGTGACAACACAGGATGCGAGGAAACTTTGCGTCGGTATTTCATGCAGGAAGGAAATGAAGGCAGTCCCATTGCTGCGTTAGATGTTTGTGGCGATTTCGTTGACGTGCAATCCGTCAAGAGAACGCGTCAGATCACATTGGATAAGTTCTTCAAATGTTGACTGGAACTTGGTAACAACTTTTTTTTATTATGCTTCGCATGCTGAGTATCGTGGAAATCGTTTCTTAGAATCTTTTTCTAAATTAATTTTCTCAATGAAAAAAGTTCGACTGTAGTACTTCCTTGAACATGTATTTTCTCCAGGCGTGTGTACCGCACAATAAAGGTCATAATTATATTTTAGTACATGAATTACATGTACATTTACTGTTTGCTACATATAGCACGTCCCGTCTTACAACATAGGACATGTTCGTGTAATCGGACCAGCCGGTTTATTAGGACCAAAACGATCGCTTCCGATGTGGTTCGATTCACCGGAATCAACTGTATATACTTTGTAGAGTATTTACTTTTTATTAACAAGTTATTTTGTGTTAATTAACTTTTCTGCAGGGCCTAATTTCTTAAATTAGAAGTGCCGAAGCCCTATGGAAGACTGTGATAAGGAACGAAAGAAAAAAAATTAATAAAATAGCTCAAAATTAAAATAATTAAATTTAAATTAAGGGAAATGAAAGAAATAAAGGGAAATCTAATAGTATCTAATTATTAAATTAATTTTAAATAGTTAAATAGGAAAAAAAATATAGAAACTCCTTTCATTTGGAGCATTGGCTGGCAATTCCACTCAGAAGCTAAGAAACAGCTCCGCCGATCTCCATCTGAGTTCAAGCCCTGATTATACGCATACTGTACTGTTCCAAGGAATGACAGGTACCACTCTTTATTTACAGCACATCAAGGAAAGACGATAAAACAATTTAAGCTCAACTATGGAGAATAGGGAGAATTCTAAAAACAATATGAGGATATGGAAGGGAATTTTAACGGAAACGTATAGCTTTGAAAATAAAGAGGGAAGACTTTCTGATCGCGATGCTATGTCGATGTAATTCTAGCCGTCAAACAGAAATTTTCCTTGAATACGATTCGGTAACAACGTGAGAATAAACGTAAGACTTCTCTGTACAAGTTACAGCAGTGGTCCCTTCTCGTTTGGTTACGTCATTCAGAAAGTCTACAGGAGCTCTGCAATAGGAAGTCACTATCGTGGAACGTGCGCGATTAGGGTATCACTTTTAGTACTTTGAGAAACACAAAATTTGCCCGTTCTTATAAATTCATTGCACATCCTGGAAAATAAACCTTTGACATATGATTGGGGGCTTTTCTTTCCTTAAAAGTCTCAAACTTTGTGCAAGGCTTAACTCTTTCGCCCGTAGCGCCCGTTCATTCAGGCAACGGCAAACCGCCCCAACGCCTCGTTTATTTTCTACCTAGTTCTTTCCCCTCCACGTTACGTATGGCTTATTGGTTTCCGGAGTTGTTAAAAAGACATGTCAATCATTCTTTTTGAAAGCAAATAAAGGAGAAAAATACGGAAAGCTATGACGTTCGAAGGTGCAATCCGGCCTAAGGTGAAACTGCGCACAATGGATGAATGGGATGAAACCGCAAAGGGGAAAGAAAAACTATTTCAAGACAAATTCGTAAACACGGGCGTTTTCGATGTTTGTTGAAAACAGATTTGGTCGTCTCTCGATGCGAAAGAGTTAAGTGCGAGGGAAAGACAAACCTGCATTCAGAAGTTAGAATTGATTTTTAAAGCACATTTACTGTTAAAGCAAAATTTATCTGCTAAAATTGCGGTTCACTTACATAAAAGAAGTGCCGGAGCCCTTTTATTTAGGACTCCGATACGCTCTGGCTGAAATTATAATTTTTCTCGAAAATTGAGAAGAACCGGAGCCTGGGCTTCGAAATCCGAAATCGCTAATTGTTTTGCTGGCATCAAACAAACGGCTTTAACTCAGCTATCTTGCTAGTAGAACATTGATATAGAGGTTTAAAACTCATCAAAAATTTGATATATTAATTAAATAGATTGATTCGACAGTTACTGATCCGACACACAAAAACGAACATTACACGCCTATTGGTTCGAGACACATACACACCAAATAATATTAATTAAAAAAAAAAAAAAAATCTGAAAGGTTTCAGATTTTAAATTACGTCCAAAGGGGCGTTTATTTAACAGTTTATGTGTTACATTTATTTATTAAATATCACGTTCTTTGCACTTAAACCATAAAATTCAGTTTAACAGCAATTTCGCGAAATAATTTTAAATTGAGCGTATCTTTAGAATTTCCGATACACAGTCTCACGCGTTGGAGATAAAAAATGTTTTTTCTGTACAACATTGCCATTCCTCGCTTTGAGTTTGTTAATCAAAATTTCGTTAAAGTGTTACAAAATGTGAAATCGATAATAAAACAAATTCCAAATTTCAAATTCGGGCTTACAGCAGCAGTAGGATTACGCCATTCAAAATTGGATGGCTCTAAGTACCGTGTTTTATCACAATGCGAGAAAAATACACACATTTATGCAGATTATTCATTATTCACTTTCTTCAAATATAATACAGGGCAATAATATTTGGTGGCAACAGTTTGAAAAGTAAAACGGATATTCAGAGTGATTCGACGCAAAACGAAAACAATAGTTCCTCAGGGATAAAGCCACTTTGGACTAAAAATTCTGATAGGGTTTAGATTTAAAAGGTCGCTAAACGGCCTCTGAACTTTTATATGGTTGGCCTATAGAGATGGCCTAGATGGAATAACAAAGCATTTTATAAGATATTAGATGACTATGGATTTGGACTGACATGGGAACGTTATATAGCTTCTGTATATTTAAATGTGAAAAAATATGTAATATATATTGAATATCGAATGCTTTTAATTAGATATATCCTGAATTAAATACATTTTTATTTAAATTAAGCAGATTAAAAAGTTAAAAAAAAAATTATCCTTAAGAATTGCATTTATTGCTTCTAAATAATTTAGTTTGTTAATTAATAGCAGACAGATTAAATAAGAAAGAATAATATCTTGCGTTTTTCCAAGTGGCAACAGAATCGAATGACAACTGAAACAACGCAGCAAAATGAAATCACATTTCGAAACAAAAATCTACTTTTCTAAACCGTGCTAGCTATTTACGGAATAGTAATTATTCCAACGCTACTAATTAGAACTGAAATTATTTAAAGAATCACAACTCCTTAATTTATTCGTTTTGTTCCACAATTTCCTTATTCCTTCGGCACATTTCCGTGAGATCATTTCTTTTTATGAATTAATTGATTGAAAAAAAGATTAGATTTATGCAAACTACGTAAAAGTTATTTGCCTAAAGGGTTAGGTTATGTAGATTAGGTTTTCGATATGAGTGTAGGCTAACTGTCTAAGGACAAATGCCTTCATGGGAGACTTTCTAAGGTAAACTGACTTGCATTCACGTTACTTATGAGAAGAACTACTAAAAACAGCTATATAGCCGACCCGTTTCACCTGGAATCGAATCCCAGTCGAACTTCCATAATTCAGTGCCTTGACCCTCGGTCTCTGGTGAGGCATCTACCTAAAAGAAAGGATGCCGTCATGGAAGATTTTTCTAAAGAAAACTGGCTCATATATTACATACGTCTAAGAAACTAGGAAAATGTTGGAAAGATTCGTTAGCCTGGATTTGAAATCTTTGAGCTCTTCCACACGACGGAGTTCCTTCCTTTTACGAACAGACTGGCATTTTATAAGTCAAGATCTGCGTTTAGAATTTAAAATGATAAATTTTACAAATGAAAAGATCAATAAGTTGAATGGAATTTTTTCTGACATTAAATTTACTTGGAAATGCACTGTGCTAGGCCAAACTTTGAACAGAACAATATATGAAAAGTAATTTGCGTCTTCTCCAGGATATGAACCAAAGAGCAGCCTTCAAATTATGAGCTACATATTCGCATCACAAATACAAGCAAAGGATTACATTCTCCGCAGCTAAAATGTGACTAGAAATAGGCAAGAGACCCAGTCGATCCAATCCAGGCATGCGGCGATGAATTATCTTTCAGTTCAGGCGCCACTGTAGAAACCATCATGATTTTCGAGGTCAAGGTACACTGTGATAATTAAAAAAACAGGTGGGGGGAATCAGTTTTTATGACCTAATTTGATTTAGTTTTTTTGACCTAATTCTCAAATGACTAAGTTATTTGAGAAAATTATTTTATTCTTGATTCCAAGATTTTCGATGAAAATAAAAATTAAGACTGCTTGTATGCTCTGACCTCCCCAAACGAGAGGGGAGGGGGACAGTCCTATATCTTTCGTTCTACCGGGCCGATTGACGAAATTCAACTTACGTTTTTCATGTCTCGAAAGCGCGACTTAGGATATGTATTAGATTTATATATGGCATTGTTCTACTATAGGTATATAGACATAAAATTGAACTTTTTCTGAAATGGCATGCCAATTTCCATATTTCGATTCTACAATTCAAATTATGCCAAGTTTTGTAAAAATCGCACGAGCAGTTTTTAAAAAAATTAGCTCTCAAAATTTTAGCTCCTCCATGTTAACTGAATTTGGTAGAGATTTATTAATCTCTCTTTTTTATTAAACTTATTTGGTTCTTCCTTTCACATTTAAAATATTAGTTATTCTAAATAAATTCGCCATTTTCTATGATTTAATTTTTTAAATTTGTAATTTAAATAATTTTATAAATTTTTCGAAAAGATTGGAAGTAATCTATAAAATTTTCCCATCGCCTTAATTATTCTTAAGATACCTGCAAAATCAGAGTTTTTTTATTCAAAATTTCGAGTATATAGATATATATTATATATAGGAGCGTTTTGAAATTTGGCATATTTGTGAAAGCCATAATAACATCAAATGGTTTTGCACATATTTTAAGATTATCGAAAGTGAATGTGTGACCTTGCACATTCATTTCGCTCATTCATTCTGCTCATGCACAATGTAAAAAGGAAATAGTGCCATATATTAAAAATTCACCAAGTGAAAGTAATCGTGCAAACGGAAAAAAAAAA